GCTACCTTTTTTTAGACCTTTAATTACCTACCTTTAATTACCTTTAATTAGCTACCTTTTTTACAAATATCACTTACAACTGTACTATTATCACCTAAACATGACGCTTTATTTAACTCTAATTTGAATAAAATTCTAGTTCACAGTCAGATTAAAATTACTTCAAAGAAGAATTCTTTTTTGGATAAATCTTTTCACTTTGGAAGAACTTTTTACCGAAACAAGTTTCTTTGAGTCTTACTTTAAAACAAACATAACCTCTGAGTCCTCTACGAAAATAAACTTTAAAACATTAAAAACTTAACAACAACAATTAATTTCGCAGATATTTTTTGTCGTTTTTTGGCTATTTATTGTTTTGCAACTTGCCTTTTATATTATAATGGTGATTCATCTTAATTTAACGAATTTCAAAATAACAAAAATACTGCATATGCAAAATGATAAAACAAACCCAAACTATACAAAAAACTTTATCACTGAATTTTCAATTTCAATATATAAAGTTTTCAATATATATATATTTTTTAATTTTATTATATAAAGTAGTAAATATCTACGCATAACCGCAATAAGTTAAATAACGATATTGCTATTATTATATAAATAAAACTCTTAAGTTCTCATATGATAATATATATTTTAGTGGCATTCAATAGGCATACAAAGCAATGCCAATTAGCAGTATGTTTGCATGTAAATGCTTGAGGATATTTGCTACTAACCCAGACAACACCATAAAAATAGCATAAATCAATTACATTAAATAGCTATTAGCAATAGAATGTATAACTGCACAATTCAATGTATAATTACACATTCTAATGTTCAGTGCAATGTCTGTCCACTTTCTTTATAAACCAAACTCAACATTTTCTTTCTTTCACTCTAATATACTTCGTACTTTTTAAAGTCACTTATTTTAGGTTAAAGCAGGTTATAATGATCTTTAGTAAGCTGAACTCGTTATTGCGAGCCTTTGTATGGCAATTTAAATTGTAATTAGCAACTTTAAAGTTATACTTGGACATAAGATCAAAATCTAGACAAAATTTTAATAAGCCTTTAGCTGTGGCGTAAATTTAAAATTTTTACTTTCTCTATTACAGAAAGATATTTAATTCGGATTGTTTTAAGTTGCTTACTTTTTTTCTGAAAAAATTTTTTTAAAACTAATTTAGCATAATTTTATAAACAAATAATTACGAAGGACCAAGTTTGCAGGCAGTAAAAAGATAAAATATAGATTTACCAAATATATTAATAATAAAAATTATTTACTAACACCTTTAAAATTTTTATTAGGGTCATAATACATGAAGCAACGTTCAAAATACGAACCAGCATTAATGTATATACACATGTGTTATGTCTCTAATCTTACTTTGTTCCTAGAGCATACAACAAAAATCCTATTAAGTCTGACAGTTGCCTAAGTAGTTGGAATACTTTCAATGAAATGGCGTTCTTTTTTCTTAATCGTATTAGAAAAAATAATGCATGAATGTAACTTTTTGTCGCTGGTTTATGGATTTTATATTATTCTCTCCAATAATTAATTCTCTAAACTTTAAGGATAAATAGTCATATTTTTAAAAACAAGCCATCATTAGATAATAATTTATTTTTTAAAATATTTGCTCTTTAACTAATTAAGTAGATGAAAATCTTTTTATACCGTTTTTTACTCTTTCTCTTTCAGATTCGTAGGTAGTCAACATTTGATCAGATTAGTCAACCCCACCTATGTTTCTGTTATATATATATATATATATGTATTACCAGAGAAATTTTTTTTTCTTTACCAGATATTTTAACAATCTTTATATTATTGGAACACAGGTACTCAGCATACGCATATCTCTTTTATCTCTCCGTTTGGTACATATTAATAATATTTTTGTATTATATCGTACTAAAATATCACCAGTTTTAAGATTCTTGGAGTTCTTTATAACTTGTGGTAACTGTTTGTTATTAATACGTAATGAACCAATGTAATTAGTATTATATTCTTGCAATACTTTCTAAATTTCATCAAATGTGTACCAGTTATTCATATGAAAAACTATTTCATAAAGCTATCCATTAGTATATTAATAATTGTAGTAACTTGATATTTGTATTTCTCTAAAAGAGGAACAAAACTGTTGCTCATTTCAGTTCCAGTGTACAAAAAATAATTCCAAATGTAATTTTATTCAGATTTATATAAAGGCTTTATACTAAACCTTAAAAGTTAGTTTAAAATGTATTTTACATTACCTTTTGAATTAATGATGGGTCAAGCAAAAGATTTATTAAGAAATGCATTGCGAATATTGATTTTCAAAAATTTTAAATGAATGGTATGTACAATAGGGAAATGCAAAACTTTTAGGTTACATACTTTGGTTATTATCAACCTTGTCCTTATTCTGCACTACAATAGTTTTTATTGGGCAAAATTTGAAACATATTGGATAGTATTTAGGGGTTTCTATGTTTTATCACATTTTTGGTGTAAGGTGACAAAAAAATTTATTCAATTTTATATACTTATTTTTTGTTAAATAAGTATTTGTGGACTGTCAATTTTTATTGTTAAAAATCAATAGTGCTAAATAAATATATAGTACAGTATTTTTTGTGTACTACATACTACTTCTATGCACTAGACAATCATAAATCAATTATCTATCATTAACAGTCAACTTGAGTAGGGCAGACTTTGATGCAGCTGGAAATTCTTACGGGTCAAGACCAACCAATTAAAAAAACACTGCTTTTGGTTTATACCTTTTGGAATGCTTGAGTTTAAAATGCTATAAATCCTATGCCTTATTCCGTGCAATTTTTGATGACCTTTACTTGACAAGCCTCGTTTTTCATTTCAAGATATGTTGAATCCATACTCCAATCTGAAGGTTTTTTCATTTAAAAACTTTCAGTGTTTTTTTTTTGCCATTTTTAAAATTAGATAGAATAGTTTTGTGATGTGTTGCGTTGTGTGATGAATATATTCTATGACATCAAATCAAATGTGGCAGCACCATTTTTTTAAGAAAAATTTCTGTCTCAGCTGATGTTTTAGGTTGTTTGCAATGTCTTTCTTGGCGTTTATATCAATATGGCAATCAAAGAAAGCAAATCCTACTAAATTTTTAGAAAAATATTATAATCTTTTGCTGCAGCAGTTGCAATTGTACGATTTGGATATTCTTGAATCCTTTGAAGAAGCTTAACATCATTAAATGGTGTTTGCTTAGTTAACAGAGCTTTACTTCAAAACTGTCCATATTTAAATGCCACAGAAAGACTTATGTCTAATATTAAGTTTTTTTTCATGGAAGTAATGATAAATTAATCCTGAAACAAATTAATTTCTAGACAATGTATGGCTTTGATGATCCCAAGTCTATTGCATGTTACACCTGGAGTCTGAAACTTTACATTATCTCTAATACAATTATAAAATCCTATTTGATGCCCTCCACTGGTTTAAAATGCCATTGTGAAAATATTGGAAAACATGACTTCAAACACAAGGTGCCAACATGATATAAATATAAGATTATGATTAAGAATTCGCTTTATGATTATCCATCAATTCGGCTTAACTGCTTAGATGCCTCATTTCCATTTTAATTTTTTAATCTCACCTTCATGCTTAGCTAGTGTTCACATAAGAATACTTTATCTTTATCGTTTTTATAACTTCTGATACATTCTGGTTTGATATATCAAAAACTTTTTCAAGGTCAGCCTGAAAATTTTTTTCTTTCATTTGAAAGTTGTCCAATTTCGTTATTTTATGTTTTTTTTTAGCTGCAGGTAATTATTATAAATTTTGTTTTACTTTTGCTGCGCATTATCATTTGTTTGAACTGGTATTCTTCCTCTCTCTCATATAAAAAAATTGCTTCAATTGTTGCCAAAAAACTTTTTTTACTTTTTATGTCATTTCTAAATTGTAGAAAAGCAACCTTCAAATAACATCCTCGTTTCAAGGAAGTCTGGCAATTGACAGAACTTGTGTAGATTTACCAAACTCAGTAGAAGATCTAGTTGTTGCTAAATTATTAAGTTTAAAAAAAAAACATTATGCAAAATATAGTTTACTGAGGCAATAATGGTTTTAGGCAAATTGGTTGGTTTATTGAATAATGTATACAATTGTATATAACTTGTATTGTAAAACGTCTACTATTTTAGAATTATATTATTTAAAATTTTATTATATTATTATGCTTGCAAAATATTTACAAACATTTGGTTAGTTTACGTTTTTAAAACATGGCAACTTTAACACTTCCTTCTATTCTTTTATTTGGCACACATGGTTCTAGGTGATAGAGGAACACAGACAACCTTCAATAAAATCTTTTTTGTGGCATTGATTTTTTCTATTGCAACGTGAATTGTTCTAATATACAATCTGATATCATTTATGACTAATGAAATACGTTTCTGAACTCTAGATCTACGTTTAAATTTATTTTTACAATATTCTGCTGTAAAATGTTACTTTGCTCTACAATACGATTAACAGGCTATCTGGTGACTAAAAATTCAATAAGGTAAAAGGACTACTATCAACTAAGATACAACAATGAGATCCTGGGTTTCCTTTAAAATTTAATTCGCTATATAACTATCAGCATTATTCCAATTATATATGTAATTTAAACAACTTTAAAATTACAAATGTTAAATATTTGCAAAAATTTAATACTCTTTAGCAATAAACGATTCTTTTAACTCCAGTTTTTGTTAAACTCATTATTTTTTTTTTCTATATAGGTTAAAGTTTCCCCAAAACGTAATTTTCTTAACTTTGGTTTAACTTTTTCAATTTATCAGTTTATTAGAATTTTGAAACTTTTCATTGATAAGTTTTTATTATTTAAACTAAAGAAGTTTAACATTTTATAAAAGAAATTTCTACTTTTATTTTATATTTCTATTTTAAGGTTGATAAAATTTATGAAAGTAATATAGATTTGTTTTATTGTTTTTAGGGATCTCTTTGTAAAGACATATTGTGTCACATGTTTTGCTGTCATTGTTCTTTAATTCAAGAGGCGCTGGTATTTGCTTATGTGTATAATTATATATAAATATATATGTATATATATATATATATATATATATATATATATATATATATATATATATATATATATATATATATATATATATATAAATATATATATATATATATGTATATATATATATATATATATATATATATATATATATATATATATATATATATATATATATATATATATATATATATATATATATATATATATATATATATATATATATGTATATATATATATATATGTATATATGTATATATATATATATATATATATATATATATATATATATATATATATATATATATATACATATATATATATATATATATATATATATATATATATATATATATATATATATATATATATATATATATATATATATATATATATATATAGATGTATATATATATATATATATATATATATATATATATATATATATATATATATATATATATATATATATATATATAAATATATATATATATACATGTATATATATATATATATATATATATATATATATATATATATATAGATATAGATATATATATAAATATATATATATATATATATATATATATATATATATATATATATATATATATATATATATATATATATATATATATATATATATATATATATATATATATATATATATATATATATATAGTTGTTATTATTTTTTAGAATCCACATTGATGTAAGATAATAAGGGTTTGACTGATGCTAAACATTACAATGTGGTTTGTTCATAAAATTTAAGACTGTGATTTTGTAAGGTGACAAACATTCTAAAAATAGGGAACCTTTTTTTTAATAAAACTTTATATTTAAAAAAATATATACTCTTGCAATACTTAATTATATCAAAAACATTGAAAATTTAAAAGTCAATTGAAAAAAAAGATTTTAAATTTGGTTTGAAAATTAATTAAAAGTGGAATAAATAAAATAGTGAATAGCTCAAATTAGTTATGGAAATCAATAGATTTTCTTAGTTTCAAAACAGTTCATAAAAAAATATATAAACATAGAGGCCAATATTTTTAATTCTAAGTATGACGTTTATATTATTTTTTTACAGTTAAAACACAAAATTCTAAATTGCTTAATTCGTTATTTAGTAATATGTTGCCATCTAGCATCTAAATATAACATTTATTTTTGGTTTTCAAATTAGGCAAAACTTTTAATTCAACAAAAAAAGTTGTTTTAACCTTGAACATAAAGCATTCTTTTCCAAATAAAAATCACTTTGAACACACGCAGTTAAAAAACTGAAATCGTTATTACTTGGCATTTGACAATCATCTCTGCATATTATATGACGTCTTAGCAACGCACTCTTGCTGTCTACATGGTACCCTAATAGACTTTGAGACAACAGCCAGACTGTAAAATGTTTGCAAAAAAAAAAATTAACAAACTTTTGGCATTATAAAGGGTAGATTAGGGTTTTATGTGCACCTTTAGCAAACATATGAATATTTTCAAAAATACTTATGCTTAATTCTAAATTTTTGCGAATAAACGACTTTTTTGGCTCACTACTCATGGTTATATTTACTTAAATAATTAGGCACCCAAAACTTTTATTTTAACGCAGAGGTTTTAGAAAAGTAGCAAAATTCCTCAAATTAGCTAGATAAATTGGCAATATGAGCACTTAAAATCAGCTTAAAAAGAAACATTTATTAAGAAAAAAAAATACTACTCTGATAATTAGAACTTGTTTATGGAATATAATGATTAGTTGCTAACAAAACATTAAAAGGTCAAATTATAAGCCATTTCTCATTAAAACATTGCTACAATGTTTAACGCAATTAAAAAAATAATTGTTTCTTTTTTTTTTTTTAACGCAAAACTTTAAATGTCTTATTTTTATTTGAATTGTCTTAACAGTTAGCATAAAAGTCAGACGCATAATCTGCGCGTAACTTGTTCTAAAAATCTATTTAGTATTTTATTATGTTTAATATAACAAAAAAATATTTTATGTATTTGCGTTAATCTCATGTCACAAGTTTTTGCCTTACTCAGGCACCTCATCTGAGTCTAACAGATGTTTGAGAAAAATCTTTGAAGACAGTGTTTATAAACGATGTAAATATTCTCGCCTAAAACTTTCACTTGTAACATTTGGTGGCTGCCTCCCAATATTTTTTTAGCAGCAAACAGATCTTTCTTTTTCCTCCAGTGGCTACCGCCTTTCTATTGGTGGTTGCAGCCATAATATTATTTTGGATACAAAATGTTTCGGTGACCAAAGCCAATAAGGAGATTGGTGCCATTGGTGGTTGTGTCCAAACAAATATCCAAAAGCAATATGATTGGGATGCTACCTTGAATGTTTCTGCCTCTCAGCTGGAAGCGGCAGCCAAATAGGAAGCGAAAATATTTGCCTCCAGCCGCCCTATGTCATGAAAACTAGTTTCACTTTTACTTTTGAGTTGACAAACAATTTAAATATTAATAAGGAATACTTTCAAAATATTTGATATCAAAGTTTTGTATTATATGATTTATTTTAAAAATTTTGCTAAATTATTTGAAAAAAAAAATTGATCAAATATGAAGTATTCATATTCAAAACGAATCTTAAAAATTAAAAGGTTCGTTTCAATGCTTTTGTAAAAAACCTACTTTTTTTTAAAAAAAAAAATTATAATAAGTAAACAATTTGTCAGTTTATAATCAAAACTTGATATTCTATTGCTCATTTGTAATACTAAAATTTTAATTTTACGATCATAACAATTTAATTTTTAACTTTATTCATAAGATAATGTAATAGTATTTGAGTAATGCAACATCGTTTAACATTTATTATGAATTAAAAAAATTAGTTATTTGAACGACGGCTTTAAATCAATATAAGGAACTTTTATGAAACTTAAACTTTTTAAAATATAAAATTTTTTGCAACGTAACTAAAAATAAAAATTGCGTCGTGGTAAAGCCAAATAGTATTCTATGGAGAAGAGTATTCTTTACATACATAAGTTTTGGTGTACTATGAGATTTTTACTACTACGTTTATTACTAATTACTGGTTTTTATTTCCATGTAAAAAAATGTTGTATTTACTTTTTTTTTTATTTGTAAAATATTTTGTAAAAATTTTTTACTGTTATAATAACTAATAGCAGCCGTGGCGCAGTAGTAGCGCGCTTGCCTCAGAAACAAAGAATCCGATGTTTGAACCCCTCTGCTGGGTAAGTTTTGCGGCATTAGTTAGGAAGTAGGCGTGACCTTTCTATTAAGTGCTCATCTCCGTTGTTCTGTGCTATATAGAACGTATATAGGACCATAAGGACTTCTTGACTTATATAAAATTAAAAAAAAAAAGAAGAATTTTACTCCCCACGTAAAAATGTACTTTGCGACTACGTTGTATTTTCTCAACACTATTGACTCACTCAAAAGAATACAACCAACAAAAAAAATGTTTTTGGATTCATATTGGAAGTAACCACAATCTTAAATATGTTTTAAGAGTTGCACAAATATTTTTTTTTTGAAAATGAAATAATTAAAACTCTGTAAATATTTTGCTTTACCGCTTCCAAACATTGTCATTTTTACTACGACATATAATTATAAGTGCCTCAGATTTTATAGTTTTCATAACGTATAGTTGTGGTATACTCTACATAGATTGATTGAGATAAATTAAGATAAACGCAGTGGAGGAAATAACTATTGACTGAGAATATATATGTCTCTAGAGATTTTATAGGTTGACAACATTTAGAGAGAAACATCTCTGAACCAACTTATACGTTTAACTACTCAATTTGAACCTTTTCAAATTTTTTAAACTCAATTTAAGCCTTTTTAAACTTTTGAACGTCTAAACTTTTAAAAGTTTTAAAGTTTTTAAACGCCTAAAAAAATTATATTTGAGTTTAAAAAGTATTTAAAAGGTGTAAACATTTGAGAACTTTAAAATTTTTAAAGTTTTAAACTTTTAAATGTGTTAAACTTTTTAACCTTTTGAACTTTTTAATGTTTTGAACTATTAAACGTTATAATAACTAATAGTTTTTCCATTAGTTTTGACTAATTTGAATAACTGAAACAAAAACTTTTACAATCTTTAAAACGTTAAAAGGTATTAACAACTTTTAAACGCTAAAAATTTAAACGTTTAAAAGTAGATTAAATACTTGTCAATGTTTTACTAATTGTAAATAATTACTTTTTACTTTTTACTTTTTACTTTTTACAACGTTTTACTAATTGTAAAAAATTAAATACTTTAAAAGTAGATTAAACACTTGTCAACGTTTTACTAATTGTAATTTGTCAAAACTTTCAGTGAATCCAATAAGATACTAACTTGTTAAAGAATATTAAATTTAATTTTAATTGATATTATTTTAAATTATTTAACTATTAAAAATAAGAATGTAAAGCCATTGTAATTGAAAGATTTGGGATGTCGACTAGATTAAAAAAACTTTGATCTTAGTATGAAAATTTAACTACATATCAACTTTTTTTTTGCCGAAGTGATTTTTTTGTTAACGTCATGGAAGTAAAAACATTTGTTTTGAATAATAAACTACTAATTTATTTAATAGTTTAATAAATAAATTTAATTTAAATGTTTAAACTTTTGCAAGAAATCATTTAAAATGCAACTTTGATGTCATGTTTTTAATATTTTATATGTTTTTTATATTTATTTTTAATAAATATTTAAATTGCTCAGTAACATAAAAATAACCGTAAAGTTCTTTTTTAGTAAATGTTCAAAATGATAGAAGCTGAATACTTTAATACATATTTTAAATCATTTTATGAAACAGAAATTATGTAATGTTAAAAGAAATTATGTAATGTTATGTAATGTTAAAAGATATAATCTTAGGCTAGTTTAATTAAACGAAAGTTTATGAATTTTTATCTTCTTAATATATGTTTTTTTTATACTTTAGTTAATAAGATCATATGAAAAAGTGAATGCTAGTGTCGAACTTACAAGTATGAATATTATTCGAAGTTAAATAAACGTTACTTCTAAGCATCAGTTACATTTAACTATTAAGTTTCTAATGTAAACACTTTTAGAGAATAAAAAAGAATTTATAGAATTGTTGTTTTTTGTAAACTATTGAGTAATTTTTTTGTAATCGTAGAGATATTTCCTTAAATTTCATTAAGCATTTAGAAATATTGTTTTAATAATTGAAGTCTCTGGAGAAAAAAAAAAGTATTCCAAAACCACATGAGGTGGTTATTTAAAGAATGCTTCTTTTTTTACTGAAGCTTATTCATCTTTCTCAAAAAACTAATATTTACCAAAGCTATTTTTTTATAGCATTATTGCTTTAGACATTTTATCCCGTTGAAATATTCTTTTGATTTGCAACTTTTCATGTCTTCTGTCAATCGGCTTTCTCGCTCTAGAACCAGAAAATTTAGTACTAAGAGCCATCGATAGAATTATTTCCACTTCTCAAAAAATAGAAAAGCCTAAAGAAACATTGAAAATAAATAAAATTAAAATTAACAACTAATAAACAAACTTTTACAACAGCCAGAAATATTGAATCCAGTTGGGAAACAGTTACAAACATGAAAAAAAAAAAAACCTTGAATGACTAACAGTTATCAACTGATGTAAAATTTGTTAAAGAAATCAAATTAAGAAAAAATAAATAACAACTGAAATATCAAGAAAAAGTCATTTTTTATTTATTTAATTATTTTTTATTTTTTTAATAATTTTTTATTTATTTAATTTTTAATTTAATTTATTAATTTAATTTCTTTAATTAAATAATTTTTTATTTATTTAATAATTTTTTATTTATTTAATTTTTAATTTAATTTATTAATTTATTAATTTAATTTATTTAATTAAATAATTTTTTATTTATTTAATTTTTAATTTAATTTATTAATTTATTAATTTAATTTATTTAATTAAATAATTTTTTATTTATTTAATAATTATTAATTATTTAAAAAAGAAAGAAAAGAGGTTTTACTTCTTTTTATTATTTATTCGAAAGTTTGTTTGATGTAAAAAAGCTGTTTTGCTGAAAGTTTTTTTTTTTTTAGAAAGTTGTATAGTTATATTGTTTGCTTGAAAATTGTTTGTTGATAAGCTGAAATTTGGTGTATATTTTTCTTGTTGAAAATTTTTTGAAAGTTGTTTTTGTTATATTGTTTTTAAAGGTTGTATCTTGAAAGTTAAAAGTTGCTTTGTAGTTGATAATTTAAAAGTTATTTGAAAGTTATTTTGGAAGTTGTTGCAGTGTACCTTGGACCTATTTTTTAAAGTTTAAACTTTATCGATTTGGATATTGAATGTTTGAATGTTTATCAATGAAGAAATAAACACTTTAAAAAAATAAACTATAGATTTAGAAAAAAGATGTTGTTGCAAAAACTTAAAATTTGACGGTGTTGCAGAACTACCGTCTGAAACGCTTGAATAATGTGCAAGAGCAGTTTAAAGATCTTCAAAATCCAGCTTGGAATTGCTAATGAAACCTCGTAGGGGAGAAACCTCGTAGGGAGAACCTTTCTCTAAAATTACCCAATCTCTTTATGAATAAAACAATTATTAAAAGAGAGTCAACTGCTAACTTTCTAGGAGTGATTAAAAATGAAAATTTATCATGGAAATATCATTTTAAATCTATTGAAAACAAAATCCCCAAAAATATTTCAATGTTATATAAAATTAAACCATTTCTTAATATTAAGTCTTTAGAAATTATATATTTTTCATTTATTCATAGTTATCGTTCTTATTGCAATATTGCATGGGGAAGTACTAATTATGGGAAACTTAAAAAAATCTATAGCAAACAAAAACATACATGTAGGATTATATTTGGCGTTAACAGAACTGTTAATGGTGAATCTCTTCTAAGCGAGCTTAATGCACTTAATGTTTATAAAATTAATATATAACAAGTTATGCTTTTAATGTTTAAATCAAAACATGGTTTGTCTCCTAATATATTTCACTCTTACTTCACTGAAATTACTCATAAATACCCCACAAAATTTTTAGTTGATATGTTTGTTATTCCAAGATCTTATTTAAAACTCAGTTCATTTCAAATTCAATATCGTGGACCGTTTATATTGAAAAAGTTTTTTGAAAAATATTATTAAAAATAAAACTCTTCTAAACTTCTTTCTAGAACAATTCAAAAAAGAATCTAAACGTTTTCTATTAGGAAAAAACTTCGATTTTAAAAATTTCTTTTAAAAATAGTACCTAAAATAATTAAACTGAAAAAGCCATCATGACTCTCTTATTTTTGTCTTTATTTATTTCTTGTCTATAAATATTATATATATATATATATATATATATATATATATATATATATATATATATATATATATATATATATATATATATATATATATATATATCTAAAAAAAAACGTTTATTTATATATCTTATTATACGATTTACTACTTGTAATATCTTAACGTTTTATTGAAGTTAATCTAAGTAATCTAAGTTGATAAAATTTTTGTTTAGGATATGCATAAATAAAAATAATTAATTGCGGAAATAAAAGTGAAACTAATAACTCTCACTGGAATGGCTAATATTAGCAAGTTCAAACACTCTAGGTGTTTTTTTCATTTTTTTAAAATGAAAACTTTAATAGATAGAAACATCGAAAAAAATCCTAATTTTTGTCATAAATTAAATAATGATTGTTTTTATTGTTATCCCAGTGAAATAGAGGAACCTCTTTTTAATTCTAATTAAACGCCGAACAAATTACAATGCTTCGTGTAAATATTAAAATTATAAGTCACATTAATTATTATTGTTGGCAATCCAAACATGAACTTTTTTTAAGAATAAGAATGATTGTAAAACTAAAAACATTTGAAATAGGAGCAATTCCGACAAATAATCGTCCAACTAGAGTACTAATAGAGTATCAACTCAGCATCTCTCATTGATAATATTATTACAACTGATGTCTTCAGTAACTATATATTAAAAAGGTATATTTAAAACAGATATATCTGATTATTTCCCAATACTTTTATCATTCGACTCAAATAATAAAATTAGAACCAAAATAAAATAATAAAGTAAATAAATGCATCTTTAACATTAACAATATTGAACAATATTAAATATTTATCACTTTCTTGATTAAAAGCATGTAAATTTTAATTACCACGCAATTAAAAATATTGAAAACTTTTTAAAAACATTTTATTGACAATTTTCTTATATGTGAAGAAACAAGATTTTAAAAATTATCTTTAAATAAAAAGTTACACAAAGATTACAAACATCTATTAAATAAACTTGTAAAAACTTAAAAAAGAACTACTACTCAAAATTAAATAAAACGTTATAAACGACTAAATGCATTTGGAAAATATTAAAAGAAATCGATGGAAATTAAATAAACATCCTCGGGTTCCCTAGCCCAGATCATTAGAGTGCTCATTAAGAAAAATAACATTGGAACAACGTTTTTTCAACGACTTCTGTATTGTGTGAAACACGCTGGCATGATGTTATAAATGAAACAGCGGAAACACGTTGTTTTGCTAACATTATTGCAACGATGTAAAAATGACGTTGTAACAACGTTACATTTGAGCCAAATAATGTGGTTTAGGTGTTTAAGCAACGTTAAATTTTAGGCAAAAAGTAGTTATAAAGACATTAGGTCAATGTTATATTTTGTTTGACACTGAGCCATAAATGACACTGAGCCATAAATGAAACATAGGTCAACGTTATATTGAAGACGTTGGCCTAACGTAGTAAGAAAAACGTCCATTAACGTTTTTTTAACATTTTCAATGTCAATTCTACACTGCAAAAAATAATAAAGCACAATATTACACTGTATAACATCGCGATGCGAAATTCTTTTTTCTTTTTATTTATTAAGGTCAAACACATTATTATATTAGTCTGGGCAAATAATTGAATAAGGAAATTAAAAGACTAAAAATAAATAAACATTGCAATACTTCTGTTTTAAAACATTTAAATTGGATACAATAACTTGGCTTGTTTTTAACTTTCTTTGCAAATTTCAACCATATCTTAAATAATTTGCGTATTCTTTGTTTGATAAAAACTCAATAACTGTAAAACTAATGAAATTACCCCCAAAAACACTTATAAATGAAAAAATAAACAAAATTTATTTAAAACACACAATCATAACATAATGGAAAAAAGATATATTTCTAGTTTTATCCTTAAAAGATATATCATTGTGTTTAAGTTCAGGCATCTGAAATGAGTTTTGTTCCAAGGGTTATATTGGCAAATACAATATATTTTCAATTTGAACTGCATGGTACATTAAAGCAACTAAAATAGTTTATTTTCACAAAGTGAAGAATCAAAAATAGTTTCAAGAAATAGCCCTTTTTAACACGAGTGATTGCTTCGTTAAATGTTTTCTTCCAATCAGAACAAAATATATTTCACTTAAATGTTTAACAATTTAAGTGAGTGGCATCTTATTACCAAATACCAATAATTGCAGGTTTGATATTTTCTAAACAAAAAGGCAGACATATTAAGAAGCGATCATTCAAAATGTTAAAACAAATGAATCAGATTATGTAAATTGTATGTTATAAATGTTGGACAATAATAATCCACAGCCTTAATAATCTAGTTTTTATAATCCAGTCAACCAAATCAATTTAATAGCATCAATGCATAACCAATGTATTGAAGCTGTTATTTTGATTTGTATCTTCAGTACATAGGAACCAGTATACAAAAGAAATTAACTGTATAGCATTTTATCTTTAAAAATTCTACCAGTATTCTAGACTTTCTGACAAAATCGGATGGCTTTTATTTGATAAGTCATTTCACTTTTCAGAAATATGATTATTTTCAACATACAACAAATAAAATATCTTTAATTCCTTTTTTCAAAATACCAATAATTGACAGACAACACCTAAACAAAGTGCATATAGTCCAAAACAAATTAAGAAATGCAAAGTAAATCAATCAAAAGATATTTAAAGACTTATTCCTTAAAACTCATTTAAGCAAACTGTGTGTTTGCTAAGATAATTTATAAAGATTATAAACTCTCTATGTATA